CGGCCCGGGGTTTCCTGAAGAGAAACCGGGCGCCGAGGGAGGAGAAGCGGCTGGCCTGATAGTGGACAGCAACGCCGCAGAAATGGAGCTGGAGGAGCTCTTGCTAAGGAGTCCTCCGGCGCAGCCGCAGGAGCTAAGGGGCGAGACGCCTGTGCGTGAATTCGCACGTCCGTCGAACCCTGAGGGCTCTGCGGACCTGCCCGGCCTACCATCATCAGCGGCAGCGGACCGACCCCAGGAGTTGGGCTTTACCAACGGGAGGCTGCAGTTAGAGGGGGAGCCGGTTCCGGGAATTGCGGCGGGCTCGGCGGCGACGACGGCGGTGGTGCGGCCGGAGAGGCACATCCACGAGCCAATGGAGTGGGTGCCTATGCACCAGCAGCAACTGGACCCAAGATACAGTTTCCGCCGACAGGGACCGCCGTCGAGCATCCCGCCTGCCGGGTACCTAGAGGACGAGCGGAGGAGGACCGCGGAGGAGCAGCGGAGCGGCGGCAAGAAGAAGAAGAAGAAGAACAAGGGCCCGGATTTCTCGGCGAGCAACTGGGTCTCGCCCCTGACCGAGGCCAGAGCGGAGGAACCGGAGCAGCCGTCCAGGAGCCACCGCCGCACCGAGGACGCTGGGCCGGGAAATGAGTGCGTAAATTCGCACCGTTTCCATGGCGAGGCGTCCGCGGAGGCAATAGCATTGGGGAGGCGTCCGCGGAGGCTAGAGATAGGACGAGCCCGTGGGCTGCACTGCCCCCGTCGCTCCAGGGAGCCGCGTGTTTCGCCTCCGCGTTCCGGTGAGACGCCGATGGCGGGTGGCCCTGATGACCGTGATGGGGGAGTCTCCGCGAGGCCTGCCCTGAAGCCTCGCGACTCGGCCGGTCAGGTGTCGGAGGCCGAGCCGCCCCGGCTGGTGCTCCGGGCTGGGCGGTGGATCCGGGAGACGGACGGGGCCCGGCCGGTTTTAGGCTTCTTTCCCCATCACCGCCAACTGGAGTGGGAGATTCCTGACGAGAGGCCGCCTCCGCCGGAGACCCCGCGCTTGTCGGCTGTGGTCCGACCCGAGCCGCGACGAGGCGAAGAGGACGGGCCGATTGCCTCAAGTGAGGGCTCGCGGCCCCCGTTGCAGGACGCCATTCCCGCCGAGACTCCAGTAGTAGGAGCCAGGGAGGAGGGCGTCATGATGGGCCGATTGACGGGCACCTTTCTGGCCGGCCTGAACTCGGTGCCGTTCGACCGGGAGTTGGACGTGCGGCCGTTTATCTGTTTTAATTGCCGGACTGGAGAACATCGCCGCTCGAGATGCCCGGAGCCGCCGAACCCGCGGGAATGCTGCAGGAATTGTGGGCGCCTGGACGCGACGGTTGCTCATTGCGTGCGATGTGCGGCCGCTTACGCAAAGTATTTGCGGACTCGAGCGGGGGCCGACGCTGTAGCCAGGACGCCTGAGGAGCAACAGCACAAGGAGGTGGACGGACCTCAACCACCGAGTGAAAGTAGTGGGGGGGCTCGTAGCGAGGAGGCCGGGGAAGAAATAGCAGCCGAGCCGCGTAAGAAGAAGCAGCGGCGTGGTGGCCGTCTCCGAAGAGAAAGAATGGAGAGGAGACGAGCTCTCGAAGCTGAGCGGGCCGGTCCAGACGAGGCAGTTTTAAGGCTGCGAGAGGACGCGCGGCTGGAACACCAGGCTGCAAGTTCTCTTCAGCGAGACGCCGAGGTTGCCTTGCGGCGCACTCCGCCAGGATCCGGCGACGACGCGGAGAGGGCTGATCCTGCCCCTGGTCCCTCTGGGGAGCCTCTTCAGCCCCGAGCGGAGATGGTGGGGTCGACACCTGAAGAGCCATGGACGGACGAACAGGCCCAGGAGTTAGGTAGATTGGCTGGGGCGGTTAATCCTAGCCACCCCACCACGGCCGAATACATCAGGATGGTGCGGCTGCGACGCTTCGCGTTGCAAGCCAGCACACCTGATGCCCGGAGTGCCGATTAAGGCAAATGGGTGAGTAATGGTGAAGGTTATTTAATTGGAATGAATGTTGAGTATGATTGTTGGCGTGTGCGAGTGTTGCCCTTATATTATTTCCGTTTTTGTCCCTCTGAGTTTCCGAGGCCGGTGGCGGCGGTGCTAGGGAGGTCGAGGTGGTCGTCCACCGATGATCGGGGGTATCGTTGGACTTGGGAGGGGGTGTGACGGGCGAATCGATCATTAGATTCGATCGCCCTGTTCGCCTCTCTCTCTCTTCCGCGTGCCTTCCCCTGAGCCGCTGCCACATCGGTCTTGGTTGAGTAAAACCGAGTATCGACGCACGATGTGGCTTTGTTTCAGGTCTGATTCCTGATCGGCGGAGATGCCTGGCGCTGGAGGGATAGGCATAGGCATAGGCGGAGAGCAGAGGAGGAGAGAGAGGGATAGTGTCGCCGGCATGAGCCGCACATGTGTGCGTAGCCGGCGGCGCTCGGCCGTTTTGAGTACCTATAGGGAGGGGCGCGTAAGAAAGCGCGGAAGGCGCGAGATCGCGGGCAGTAGGGTTTCGACCAGTGACTAATTGCTAGCTATTCGAGCCTTGTGACTAGCCTCAGTGAGTGTTCGAAGAGTCGATTGCCATTGAATGACCATCAGTGAGTGTTCGAGTGGTTGATTGCCATTGAACGACCATCAATAAGAAGGAAGACCGGCTGCATCCAGAATCCCGCCTTTCGAAGATAACATCGTTTGCTCGGAGGACGCGGACTTCCGCAGCAGCGCTCCCTCTCAAGGTCAGGTACCCTTTTTAGTTTATCGGTGCGCGCCTCGATTTCTCTCTCTCCTGGCATCGTATAGGCCGGACGCGGACGAGCGGTTGTATGCGTGAACTCGCATCGCCCTCGCGGAATTCGTGAGATACGTTGTAAGGTGACGTTCTGTTTCCTGTGCGTTAATTCGCACGGAACGAACTTAACCCGGACTCGGCCGACGCACACGTCAACGCCAAATGTATATTATTGTAGCAATAAAGAGTAAAGTAGTTGAATTGATGAGTTTATTTTGTTAAAACCTGTCTCTCTGTAATTGATTAAATTGCGTTTATCGATATTACCGGACGACATAGCCCTCGTTCAATTTTCGCGACGAAGCGAATGCGCCTTCCGAGCCTTTCCCCTTAAATAATTTGTGACGCAACGTTGTTCGGGCTTAAATTATTAACGTACGTGTTACAAAATAATATCAAAACTTACGTCTGTTATTATTGCGGTTTCTGTTTAGTCTCATAACTGAACCTTGCATGGGCACATTATTTTGCTGATTTACAGGGATGTTTTGCAAAGGCCCTGCAAAATTATTTGAAAGAAATTTCTTTAGTATAAGTTTGAGCCACTAAATGAGGACATGAATTCGTTGCTTACCTAATTGTTGTCCAGCAAAACCAGCATTCTCAACAGCACGACCAGCATTATTTGGGACAGCATTTCTGTTAGCTGTATTAAATAGAATAAAAAATTGTAAAAAAAGTTTTGCAGGTTCTATTGTTACAAATTATTATAAAAGAGCAGCCGTACAAAAATGTATTATTACTTATATACCTTGAACTTGGTCATTGACTTAAGCTTGCACATTTGGTATTGCCGGATCGTTTGGAATTCCTTGATTTGCATGTCCAATTTCATTGAGTTGTTCAGGATGATGAACATGATGACCAATACCATCATTTTGATGTACATGTAAATGCTCATTGTCAACTCCAAAAATCACAGGATGATCCTGAATCTGCTGCACTAAAATTTATAGAAAACAGAACTAATTTATTTGTGCACAGTTTAGATGAGAATAAGTTTTAAGCTTGGTCATATAAATAAAACATATATGAAAAATCTATTGGTTTAAGGGAAAAAAATTAAATACACATACCAGGTACTTGAGCATTTTCTTGTAAGTTCGGTGGACGAATTTGAACTCGGTTTTGCTGTCCATTACCAGCTCTGGCAAGTCTTTCCAATTCTTCATTATGGTTATCAATATCCATTTGTTGAAAATTATCTGCAAAAAATAGTATTGATCTGCAAAAAATAGTATTGATAGCAATAAACAATGAATAAAATGGAAACGTCGGAAATACAGTTTACTGGATTTACTTCTTAGTATTGAAATCAAAAAGTATTGCATAGCAATAGCAATATGAACAATATATAAAATGGAAACGTCAGATAAAATTATTTTTAGATTACTATATTTACTTATATTATTCAAATCAAAAAGTATTGTAAATGAATTCAACTTTTTCATATGTAGCATATTAAACTAAAAACTAAACTATTACAAAATTGAATAACAATAACCTGCTAGATTGTTGTTTTGATTGTCTTCACCTAATAAGGCATTTATTTGAGCAACTTCATCCATTTTTTGTTGTTTGTTAAGTTTATAAAAAGCTTTCTAATTCACTGATAAAATTAAAGATTTAAGCGGTTTCCAGTATTTAATATTAATACTAATTGCCTTTTTGCTTCACGAATTGGCGATTCTAACTTATATAAATTAGCCCTAGTCTTGATCACATTTATCTTTAAACAAGTTGACTCTCGCAAGATTTTTTTACCATATTTTAGCGTCAAACCGAAATTTGCAGGTAACCTTCGCTTGTCAAAACAACGTGTACAAGCACGATCGAGAACAATTGACGTATAGCTCTAAATAAATCCGCTAGGAATGTTTACATCACCTTTTGAATATACCGCTTATACACGTGATTTTTTTTTAATTTGCTATGAAAACTTAAAGTGGGTATTTTTTTGTATTATTTTTATCTATATCGATTTCCTTCAAATTTAGCTCGATAATTAAAACAAAATTAGTTTTTTTCTACTTACATACAGTGTCTTTATTAATGATTTGTATTTAGATTTTTTTATTACTGCTGATAAGTTACTTTTACAGTATAATTTCAATTTTTCCTCATATTTAGAATTTTTTTCACATTATTGTTTACAAACATTTTTTTATAAAGATTTAGAAAACACACCATTCTGAAATTTTTTTATCTCAATACTACTGTTTTTTTACAAAATAATAAAAAACCTGGAAAAATAAAAAACATACTGTTATTATCAATTACATACTATTTTAATGAATGGCTATGCTTGACTCATTTTTTCAACTCACATGATTGTTTTTATTAGTTTAATATTTCATGTATTATGTCTGGAATGACATTCATTCAACAAACTCCACAAGAAGATAGAGAAGCTTTTGGCGTGGTGATATTCTTTAGTAATTTTGCCAGCTCGAGTTCCTCTAAAGGATTTACCTGAAACAAAAGAGTTCATTTTCAACTTAATTAACATATTTTTTTAAATATTATACTAACAAAAGACATTCAATAGTTAGAAAGTCATAAGTTAGATAAATTTATCCATCTATAGTATTATATAAACTTACGGTTATTATATGAATTAGTTGAAGATAAATTACTTGATGATTGACTAATCTGTATCAAAGAAGTAGATCTCGTTGATGGATTCTGATCAAACAGATTGGAGCTTGATATTGGAGCATTCCCTTCATTAGAATAAGTTTTTGATTCTAAATTAGTATCTAGATGGCTAGACTGTACCAAAGAAATATCTTTTGATGGAATCTGAGATAGATTGGTGCTTGGTGTTGGAGCATTCTCTCCAGAAGAATTTGTGGATTCAACATTAGTCTTCAGAGTTGTTGTATTAGTGCACTCTCGTGCCAATGCCAAAAGAAAACTTTCCATCCTTCTAAACTGCGTTTTCTGTTTGGCATGTTTACCTCCTCTAGTTCCTCGTGTTTTTTTGTCTTGACGTTGCATATTTAGCTGCAAATAAAAATGACCATGAAAACTACATAAGTTTTTTCAATTTTTTTGCAATATAATGAGCAAGTCATATTAAAACAATAAATACTGATAACTTGACTTGATTAATTTTAAAGAAATATATTGCAAACAAACAATTAATTTCAATTTTTTAAAACAAATAATGCACAAATATCCATGATTGAAATATAAGAATGTCACTGCAATCATGACAGATCTGAGAGCATTAAGTAAATAATCACAACTGATTATAAATATATTTTATAAACATGTTTTACTTGGTTTTAAAATTCGTGTGATCTATTTATACTTACTACTACTAAAAATTAGAATATTTTATAACTCTTCAAAAATTTTATTCTTCTGAGTGGCAAATAAAATTTTATGTATACGTACACATACATGTACATTGCCTAACCTAATAAAACAAATCACAACACATGCGTGTAAGTGATGTGAATCGAGTTTAAAAAATTACCAAAAAAGTTGCCAAAGAAATTTCGTCGATAATTTAATCGTTAGCTCATCCAGCGAAGCAACGGCATTCAGAATAAAATTTTACATTAATCAATCAAAAATTCAACAAACAATCAACGACATAAGGTTTGATAAAGTGCATATCACACTTCGGCAAGTTCCTCACTTCAGACCGCTCGCTCTCTCCAGCATCTACTTACTGTATATAGTGTATATTCCATGGCGGTGGCATACACATGTGTCAAATCAAAATTAAGGAGCAAAACAAACAGCAATCCGTCTTCTTACTTTTAACATTCTTGAAAATACGTAGCCGTTATTTTGGCGACAATCAGTGTGCTCTGAGTATTCGAGTATGTATTTTTCGATTATATAGTAGAATAATAATTTTTGCAAGTTCGGTGAATGATTTGCAGATTTGTGGTCTTGAGAAAGCTGTTCATCCATCCATCATTCAATTCAGATAAATCTGTTTGTTGGCCTTCTGGTCTTGTCAATAGTTCAGTGAGTAAAGCAAAATATAAATAGCCAATTTTATAAGCAATCCCAGCTGAAAATAGTAATTGGATATCTATTTATAAATACATGCATGAACGATATTTTTATCAATTAATAAATATATTTTCCTTGATCAATAGAAGAATATTTTATACTTACATTAAAAATAACACATCTAAATTGAAAATGTAAATTATATATTATTCAGCATGAATAACCAAACAAAGTTACGTATATGAATGTACTATTAACAAAAGCATACCTTTATTTCACAATTAATCACATCATTGTCTCAATTGCCATGAATTATCATCAAATCAAGATACGACAGTTTAATGATTTTTTTATGATTGACCATATCAATGGACAATGTCAGGGTCCGTGAAGGATTTATAATGAATAATTAATACTGAAGCCAATGGGACAATACATACAGTAGATTTCAATGGTTCATTGATAAAATTGTCAAAAAAAGTTACAGCAACTCAATGTCTCACTCACTTCAAGATCAATTGTTGATTAAAAATCCTTCACGGACACTGACATTGTTTATTTTTGGTAAGTCATACAAAAATGATTAAGTTGACAAAATTTGGCTTGGCAATTCATGGCAAATATGAAATGTACCACTGATAAAAGCATACCTTAATTCTACAATCGATCACATCATCACCTTATTTGCAATGAATGGCCAAATAAAGATACGTCAACATGATTATTTTTTTCATAACTTACCAACAATAAAGGGTGTCAGGGTCCCTGAAAGCTTTTTAATGAACAATTAATCTCAAAGCCAATGGGACAATAGAGTAGGTTTCAATGGTTCATTGACAAAATTTTCAAAAAAGTAACGGCAACTCATTTAGGAGCTAACATTTTTTGGTGTTGAAATTGAATATGTAAAACTTTTGCATAAAAGTAATGCAATGCTTCAAAATGATTACTAACCAATTTCCAAATTCTATATACCTGCATCTTTTTTTCAGATTTTGAGACAAGTAATTACAAAAGAAAAAGGAGTACTTCGAAGGTACAGAAGTGAGTATAATGTTTTTATATATAGTTACCATGAAATTTGTTTTTCAACAATAATTTCATAACAACTTTTCATTGTTGATTTCATAATAAATTTTCATTATTGATTTGGTATCTTTGAAAATCACAGTTTCCACGTATCGCAGGATACCATTTCATCAATAATACTTCATTTTTCAAATTTTCAAGTATATCTGTTTTTAATACTATATGCATTGAATTACTTTTTATTATTCGCTACTATGACGTTAATAAAATATGAATATTTTACTTTCCTCTTTAAAATATTTCCTCTCTGATTATTTATATTCTTGTGAAATTACAGGTACCTTGTATAGAACAGTAGAAACCGATATTGGTGAGTTTGGTAATAAAATAAGGCTGCTAAAAGCGCCGAATATAAGGCTGCTAATAGCGCCAAATAAAAAGCTGCCTAATGCGCTAAATCCAGGCTGCTTTAAGCGCCAAATACAAAATAAAAAAACTGAACACTGTGCAATATTTATCATAATTAGATATTTTATTATTGCAATATTTTGTAAATTATAATTTATTAAATTGTTTGCTATAAAATAAATAAATTGTTGAAGATACATACTATTTATGAAAATGGCTCCCTTCCCTCTCACAAAAGATGAAGAACTAATAGTTCGAGATCCATCAGCATGTCTCAAAGATTCTCACATCGATAAATTCCATAGTATATTACAATTAAGTTCAAATTTCAAGCCTAAAACCACACTTTATACATCAGTATTTGTTAAAAATCCACAAAGTAAACGATTCGACTCACTCCCTAAACATTTACCTCATTTACAGATATTGCATAGTTGCAATAACAATTGCTTTCAAGGTAAGTGTAAAAACGGACATTGGATTTGTTTATACTACAATACGAAGCAAATTTTCATTTATGATTCATTGAATCAACAACGGTTACATAGTAGCCATGAAATATTTCTAAAAAAATTGTTTTCTCATTTCGATGAATTACGCATATCGTTTCCAAAAGTCCAACACCAAAATAATGCAGTAGATTGTGGGGTTTTCGCTATAACTTTTGCGACGTCTTTGTATTTCAAAAAATCTCCAAGTACCATTCTATACGATACAACACGAATGCGAGAACATCTTATTGCCATGTTTTGGTCAAATAAACTCAAGCCTTTTCCAGAATTGTTGAATTACGATAAACAAAGCTTTGTACAAACTATAGAACTAAACAAAAAGAATGATTCAAGCGTTTCGTTTAAAAACTACAAAAGGTCGGAAAATTTACTGAGTTCATTTTCTAGTGATTGGAAAATTATTGGAATTGAAAACAAAGATAAACGTTCGAATTACGCGACGGCAGCTTTGCAGAGCTTGTTTCATTGCCCTTCGATCAGATTACAGTTTTTTAACAATACAGAGAATAACGAATTGCAAGAGGCTTTTCAGGCGTATGCTTCTGGTGACAGCCTGTCAATAAAAAAGGTTAGGTCTTTTGCTGGTTATAAATTTATTTTGAATGAACACGCAGATGCTGCTGATTTCATAGTAGAAATATGTCGTAAATCGAGAAACATGCAAGCAAGTCTTGCATTCAAATTTACTACAGAAGTAGGTTGTAAATCTTGTAATATTCTACGTAATTCTGAATCGGGATACAATTACATACTTCCATTATCCATTCCAAACAACATGCACCATTCGAGTCTCCAAAAAATTATTGAATGTAACTTTGGCCAATGGACTTACTTGGATTTACCGTGCGATAAACAATGTGGTAATCAAAAATGTATAAGAAAATCTGTTCAAACATCAAATGACATTTTAATTTTAAAATTGAAGTTATTCGAATTTAACAATGAAGGTAAAAGTAAAAAAATTACCAACTTCGAATTGGAATCTTTTGAAAAAGAAATAATATTCATTTCCGAAAATATGTATAGAGTGAGAAGCGCAATATTTTACGTTTCTAGTTTTCCATATGGGCACTATATTAGTGTGCTTCGCGAAGCGAACTATTGGAGAATGGTTGACGACTTGAGCGTTTGTCTATGTTCTACATTTCCGCGGCAGGAGGGGGCATACATTATTTTTCTGGAAAAAATTAGTGACCCAACTGCTAAAAAAAGTGATAAAAATATTTACGAGTCCACAGAGAAACTGAATAGCATTGATAATGACAAATCAAATCTCAAGTCTGTTAAAATCTTTCCAATTCAATCTTCTAATATCCTAAAAATCACTAATGGTAATAATAGTTCAGAATTCCAAAAAAATGATATGATATCTGCTGTAGAAATAACTGAAAGAAAAACTTTTGACTCGAAAATAGAATTAGAAAAGGTGGGCATAGAAAAACCACAATCAAAATTCGTATTGAAATTTCCAACTAGATCAAGTGTAATGATATCAAAAGTCAACGATTTTAATGATGAACAACCTATAAATAATAGTCATTGTGGAGTTAAAAATGATGTGGACGACTGTAACAATAATATGGAATTTTCGAAAAATGATCCGATATCAATTGTAGAAATAACTGACAGAAAAATAAATGACTCGAAAATGAAATTGAATAGCATTGACATTAAAAAACCAAAATCAAAATTCGTTGTGAAATTCCCAATTAGGTCAATATTATCAAAAGTCACCGATTCTCAAAATAAGCAATGTGGAAATAATTATCAATGCCTTAACTCATTATCCGATCTCAGTATCGATATGCAATACCATTCGAAATCCAATCAGAATAAAAGAAAGTTTGATGAATTAGCTGAAGACGTTACATCGCTGCCTCGTTCAGAAAATAATGAATCGTCTACTTATTTTGCTAAAAATAAACATCGTAAACAATCGCACATACAGTCTGGTTTTTCAAACAATGT